AGCCTGCCAACAAGCTGACAGAGCAGCTGCGGCAGGAGGCGGCGCATGCGGGCTACACGGAGACGCTCACATTCACACTAGTTAGTACTTTTAAACGATTTTTTTTAGATAAGTGATGTATATGCCAATAATCTAGTGTTGGGCCAATTCTACGGCGCGGTACTAATTTCCTTCCTAACAGTACAAATTACACTTTTACACTGATTAACGGTGAAAGTGGGGCTTTATCCACACCTTACTGATATAAATGCGAAAGTTTAGATGGATGTTTGTTAGAGTTTGTAGCTTAAATAGATTGGATCTTCATGAAATTTAGTATAGATGTATATGATAGCCTGGAAGAACACATATGGTACTGCTTTTGCTTTTTTTTAATTCCACGCAGACGGAATCACAGGCGAAAGCTAGTGTTGTTATAAAAACTTTATTATTTACATTCCAATAAGCCTCTCAATTGTCAAAATCAAAACGCTCATGACATTTAAGGCTTTGCTATTGGATAACAATTACTGTTATATTGCCAATCTTGTTTCTTAGTAATTATCCAATTTATTAACCCCGGAAAATTGAATAGTGTGAAAACATGTAGCCTATAGCATGTACAAAATATAGGATGTTTTTATATGAATAAAATTAAAAAATACGCTGTAATCGCTGACATTTTACATAAAGAAGTGTATGTTTACGATTCATTATAATACTATAGATAGAATGCTAAAGCCCATAGAAGAAACGGCAAATGTGTCCGTCGTACTTTTACTTAGGAGAGAAATTACAAAAAAATATATAAAAACTACAACCCCTATATGACAGTCGAAATTTACTATAACAGTTACCTACAAATAAAATCTTGACCTGCAGTGTTCAAGAGAAGATGTGTCAAGTAAACTAGGTGTGAAGATGGAGGAAGTCCCCGCAGTACTCATCTCCAACCCCAAGACCCTGGAGTTCCAAGTGGTGCGCACTGAGCTGCTGCCCGGACTGCTGAAGACGTTGGCTGCCAACAAGAAAATGCCCTTGCCGCTTAAACTGTTTGAGATCAGTGACGTTGTACTGCAAGATAAGACTACTGGTAAGATCTTTTGTTTATGTCTCCGGTAAATTAAATATATACTATCTATAACTCTTACTTAGTTTAAGTACAATGTATATTTTAACATACTAATGCATCTTATCTCTAATCAATAAAATAATACTATTAATATGTAAAAGTATGGATAGATAAGTAAGGTGAGGCCAGAACAACTCAACCAATTTCGGTGAAATTTAGCATGAATGTACTCAGTTTAGAAGAACTTGTGGGCTTTTAAGTTTTTTTTTAATTCCGCGCAAACAGAGTCGCGGATTACCACTAGTCTATAGAGTTAGTAAAAATGTCTGTAAAAACAGAGACAGGGGCGCGCAACGAGCGTCGCTTGTGCGCGGTGTACTGCGGCAAGGCGGCCGGCTTCCAGCACGTGCACGGCCTGCTCGACACGCTCATGGCGCTGCTGCGGCAGCCCTGGCACAGCGACACAGGCTACTGCTTGCGACAGAAGGATCGTAAGTTGGAAATCATGCTTCTATATACAATGTTAAATTCCACCGCCTATGTATTTTTTTTTATGGGCCTTTTGCCGTCCCGTCGTTTTCCCCCTGGCGTGATGAATCCAAGGACTTTGTTTACTTTATTTTATTTAAAATACAATACTTACAGTTCCAATATAAATACAATCATTAATACATTTTAAATTTTTTACCTATTTACAATAAAAAAAACTTAAAAAAAAAACAATGAGTAAAATATATATCTATATACAATTATTAAAATATGTCCAGTATTCGGTTTTTACACTTTATTTCTTTTTATCACTTTCTTCGCTATCTCTTTACTAGAATTTACAAAAACATCTCTTGTTTTCTTGTTTCTGCCTATGTATTAGAACACTAGATGTTCACATACGATTTCATCCGCTTGTAATTCATCATCATCCTCCTTATCCTACTCCCGTAGGGTCGGCGCAACGGGTTTGTTCTCCACATAACTGTATCATACATCATCTCAATCATCACTACCTTTTTAATAATTTAGTCGCTTGAAATTATAAAAACGATATTGTTTAAATTTGTAAAATTTTCAATTGTGAATGCTAAATCAAATGCACAAATGACAATGATGGCTTTTGACTTTGGATAACATTTGTTATGGCAACCTTGCTTTTTTGCTGCTATCGGTTTGTATTTTTTATACCTTTCCTACATGACAATTTTTTCAAATTAATTTACCCCCGGGATTAAAAGACTGAAAATATATAACCTACAATGTATCGTGAGTGTAGGGTTTGTTAAGAAAAGAGTTATTTAAAAGTTGCTGTCATTGCCAACAAAGAAGTGTGTGTTTACGCTTTATTATATTAGTATAGAAGTATAAATTAAATATTCAGTTTATGTGAAAAATACAACACTATACAAATAATTCTAAATCTGCATGTAACCAAGGTAAATAAAAAATTAAATGTTGTAATGATAATTTCAGATCCAACATACTTCCCTGGCCGTTGTGCAGAAGTTGTACTTCGCGGTGAAGTGATAGGGAAGATTGGTGTCATCCACCCTACTGTGCTTACAGCCTTTGAACTCACCAACCCTTGTTCTGCCCTCGAGATTACTATCGAGCCATTCATTTAAACTCAATATTTATAAACAAATTTATATTGTTACTATTATCCGTTTTATTTACCTACATTTTAACCAAAATCCCCTATTTTTACATAGGTCATTTACATCTTGCCCGATATGGTTTATTTAAAAAATATTATAATAGCAAGTTTTATGTTGACATAGACAAAATCCATGAGTAGTGTTATAATTTTCTTTGAAATGTTGCTAAAGACACTAAAACATTTTATTTCCGAACAGAGACAATAAAAATTATCCTGATATCATCACACATCTAAGAACATAAATAATAAAGAAAAATTAAGGATTAAAATTTTAAATGAACACAAAGTTGTCGAAAATATGTTTATTGTGTGGGTAATTAAACAGCACAAACAATATAAATAATAACTATAAAATCACATTGTAGACACAAATACAGAACAAAGAAAACATCATTATATTCACTTACTCTAAAAATCTATAAATACATTGATCATATCAAATGATTCAATAAATAAATGTATGCATATACTGTCCTAGTAAAGTTTTAAGTCTATATTATTAAAAAAAAATATTGACAGGTGTACATATGTTAATTTTCTATCTGTTTTAAAAATGTTGTATAAGAAATATACAAATTCACAAATAATTTTATTGTAATATCCATAATTATTGTCGATAATTTCAAACATTAATAATTTGAACAGTAAAAATAAATATTTTTTAAGGCACTTTTTAAAATATGATTTTTGTAAATTAGTGGACATTTAACAGATCCATTGTTACACTTTCTTCTTTCACAATCAAAATACCGTATTGTTTATAAGGTTTCCATTTTCATAAAAAGACCTAATCTAAAGGAAAAAATACGGAAAATCTCTTAAAAGCGAAGAGAAATTTTGGGGCAGTATTTTGTGGTAAAAGAGAAAAATCTACAATTAATTTTAAGATAACTTAAGTATACTACACAATTCGAGCTCATGGGATAAAATACTGAAATACGCAATAAATTTTATTTTTTAAATTACATCTGGGGTGGTAATTAAAAACATGACAAAGAAAGGAAAAAAGCAATGGAAAAATTATATTTAGAATGATGTTATTTTTTTAACTTAAAGCTCAACCCCATATAAACTTTTGAGTTTTTTAAAAAATATAAATGTGATAAAATGCAAATGGTTTAACTAAAATTTCAATACAAGTCTAAAAAATTCACTTCCTGCCATTCTAGAAATTGTTACTACGACTATTGACTACAAAAATGTCATGATATCTAAATGTTTAATAAATTGGTTCAATAAAACATTTTAAACTTCACTGATAAATTTCTGAGAGATTTTTTGTGTATTAGGATCCAAATTGCCCCTTATTAGGGTAGGCTCCGAGCCCCTCAGTGGGGACATGTAGTGAGCTGGTGATGGTAAGGATCCAAATAATGGAGTGGACGGATGTGTAATCTATCTATAAGAATAACAACCTTATGAAATTTAATCTAGCAACAATTGGATTTTAAACATTTTTTCTAATTCTGTCCGATTGAAATCTGGAGCTATGATAAATGGGCAGAGGTAGAATGATAACTCCCTTAGATTTGGTGCAGTTATTTTTATAACTTTCGCAACTTGCATCGTGACATGAACACATCTAGAAAGACTAAGGTATGTAAGTTTTTGAAATATATTATTCGAAAAATATGCAAGAAGCGCTGTTGTTGAGAAATATCCATGACGTAATTTCAATGATTGTAAATGTTTAAGACGATACAGATGCATTAAACTCGAGTCAAATAGTGTTTTACATGTCATTATGTGAAGAATGTGTAGACTTTTGCAATTAGAAATATAACACATTATATTATCATTTAGAGTGTCACCGTAAATATATAATGCTTGTAATGTGGATTGTTTAGTCCTAAGGAGGGATTCCAAAAAGTCTGCTGGGATGTTTTTCATTTTCTCCATATTAATACTGACAAGGTTTACGCACTGCAACATACTGTACAAACTGTTTTGTGTGAGAGCAAAATTTGATAGAATTAAAGTTTCTAGATATTTTAATTTGTCAAATGGTAAGTGATACACAAAATTTCCATTTGCATTTTCCGGACTTTGAACTATTAGGGAATTCCGAAAGCTTAAAAATTTTAGATTCGGCCAGTGACCAAGATCTTCAAAAATACAGCTATCAACTTGAGATATACTTATTTCTAAATGAGTTAAATTTGGACAATAACTTATCAAGGAGGCTCTCACATGGGAATACAATTTGAAATACTGTAATTTAACATTTTTCAAATACTTAGCAACGAAAGGCACAATGTTTTCACTTATCTTTATGTAATTCTTCATACACACAATGAGTCGTGTGTTGTCCCAGATGCATGGTGTCAGGCAGAGCTGCTGCCATCTCACACAGACTTTAGCAACGGCCAGCAATGATTCAAAATCAATCATAGAAAAAATATATATGAGTAACTCGTTGGGCAGATCATTTATTGTTAACTGGCTACATGTTTCAACACCTGTCATTTCAAGATGCACCATCCTGCAGAATGATCACCTGCAGTTTGGTAGTCCTGCAAAAAAACGTTTTTCCATGACCAAAAGTATGTCTTAAAATAAACAAACTTAACAGTTAAGTTTACGTATCATAATAATTTAAACAGAGGTCACACATATACAGGAAGACAAATATAGTCGTTTAAATTTAATTTAAATTAGTTTATACATGATTAGCATATTTAAAAGCATACCTGTGGATTACCTTGCTTCTTATTCGAGTTAATTTTATGGTTCGCCTTTTAAGAATCATAATTTAAATACTTCGCTTCAAGCTAATTTCACAACGAATGGTAATATTTCAAGTAATACTTTCGATTCACGTTTAATTCAATCATTTCAATAAGTACAATCATGTATAAAATATTTTTAAGACATAATATTAAAAATAACTTTCATCTTTGATCCTATTTTTATATGACGTTTTATACGTCTTCTTTTGACAGATAATTTACGTTTCGTTAACATTATAGAAATCTTCCAAATATAAAAATACTTGGCATTACATTAAAATTAAATAAAAACAGTTTGATTAATACGATTTTTTACTTAAATACCGGAAAACTTCTATTTTTAAATTATCTCGTACTTGCTTAGTTTACTTTATTCATAGTTTCTCGCAATGTTGTTTTTTTTCTTTTATTATAAAGCTGTGATATCCTGCCAAAAAGATACAAGTACACACAATTTGTGTTTTCCACACACAATGCTAAAAGGCTTGTATAGATTTTAGGCGAATTACGGTGTGTTTTATTTGATAAAATAAAGAACTTACGTTTGAGAATAAGAACTAAAAACCTATTTTTTTTAAGTCAAAACGGAAACATTTCATTCATATTTCCATTTTTCGTAAATACTGGATACTAGCGATAGCAGAACATTAAATATATTAACAAACTGAACGATTATCCCAGTACGCTTTACGTTTTGATGTTAATCCATTCCCACTAACAATTAATTTTTCATGCTAAGGTCAAGCATAGTACCTTTATATCTTCGTATTTGTTATTTTGCACACTAACCTACTTAAAATATCGGTGAATAGTCAATACTTCCATCGAAGTATTGATAAGAGCATTATTATTTTAAATGCATCTAACTTGGTGGTCCTCGACCTGATTCTTTGTACCAGTAAATAACAGTTGACCATTACAACTATTCCGATAAAGTTTTTGACAAATTACTCTGCGGAATGGAACTTATTGGTATTCTTGAATCTATTACAGAAGATTTTAGACTTTATACTTTTATTCAACTTATTTAGGCATGATGTGTTTTGTTTCTTTTTCAGCACTCTAAATAAGTCGACTTAAAAAACATATTTTTTCCGCATCCTTTATCGAAAACGGTTGTTAGATCAGGTTTTTGTAGTCCATGCAAACAATCCAATCAGAATAATTAAACCACAAGCACTACATGTAAACACGATGCGTAATAAGAGTATATGACCCAAATTAGTCTAATTATAATTCTCCAGCAGATAGAATACCTACTCCGTGGGTGAAAGGCGCTTAAACTTGTCTGCTAACGGGTCCTCCATTTACGTACCAAGTCGCATGTTTAGTCGCATTGCTTGTTTCACTATAACTTTGACGTATTTGCAGACGTATTATTCAGCCAACATAGTTATTGTGTCTTATAAGAAGTAACAAAATAAAGTAAGTGCTTTAAAGTAAGTTATAATACTTTAAATTATTGGTTGCATGCTTAATTTAACAATAGTTTAAGATAATGATTACAATAGAAAATATTTACAGTTTATTTCCCATGACGTAACTTTTTGCATGCATATTGCTAGCAATTAACTCTTAGAACATTGTTGGTTGAATTACAAAGTAATCTTTTATGTTTCCGAACAAAGTATTTTGTATCTTTTATTATGATTTAATAAATGGAATTGAATTTCTTATCAGATATATATTTCTAAATACAAGGTATTTAAGATCTGATAAGAAGTGACAAGTTGTAAATAGTCTTTTACTTCTAAATGTTTATTTTAAGTTTAAAATAAATTTTGTTTATTTGTACATATTGTATATTGTAAGTAATAGTTTCTCAATAACAAATTTTTATAAAAATTTTCATATCAGTTTCAATCTACAATAATAACACTATAGTGCTCTGGTGGCTAATCTTTATTATGGTCTCAAATGTGACAGGATTAGAAATTCGTTTCTTTACGACTAGATGTCGCTGTATCGAAAATAAACGTGATATGGTTCTGCTTGAAAACCGCGGTATAGGGTTTGCAGAAGAATTTCTCGTCACTCTGGTTTCCCTTCAAAACGTATAAATCTTTCGCCTTTTACTAAAGATTTCCGTGGAGGGGAACACTCAAATGAGTCTAAAATTATTTTTGTCACCCTACGTTCGTAGGGTATATAATTTAACAATGTAAACTAGAATGGAAGTAATGGTGGGACTCGAGTCTTGTCTTGAGTGATTTTTTTCACTCGAGTCCCTCGGTTTTGATAACTTTCTCACCCGAATGCAACTCGAGTATATGCAATAAGACTCTAGTAATTTTTATCGATTTGAGTCATTCGGAATATAAAACTTGACTAATCAAATTATTACATAACAGTAATTTTGCTATATTTCAGAATGGTGATGAAACTGTACGCCGTTTCTGATGGTCCGCCATCTTTGTCAGTGAGGCAGGCGCTCGCCAAGTTGGAGCTGCCGTTCGAGCTGGTGAACGTCGATTTCGGGAAAGGAGAACATATGACAACCGAATATGCACTGGTATGTACCAAAATAAACATAACTTAAACCTAAAGCCTATCAAGTATGTACTTTATCTTCCAACATAGCTTAGGTAATCATACGAGTTATTTGATCTGAGTAATAAGTTACTTGAGGACACTTTAAAGTGACATCTAAAAATGAAACTATTGTAATTACAATGAATACTTTGCTTTAAAGAATCAAGACTAAAAATGAGTTATTATAGCTTAGAAGTCACTTGAATCTGTAATTACAACGCAGAATGTGGCAAGCAGGAGGTTACTTAAGACACGTCGTTGATGATATTGTTCCGCTGTCACTTAAGTATGTGATGAGTTATTAATTTTTTTATCATTTATTTTCAGTTGAATCCACAAAAAGAAATCCCTGTACTTGATGACGATGGATTCTATCTAAGTGAGAGCAATGCCATTCTTCAATACATATGTGATAAGTATGCTCCTGGTAATGAACTTTACCCCCTGGACTCGAAAACTAGGTAAGATCTTCATGTTTTATATCTAAAACAATGTACAATCGGAGAAACTGGTGGTGTTCCACCTAAAAGGCTACTTTATAAATGAGTAACGTAGGCTATGTTTTTTTTTAATTATAGCCTACGTTAATTATTTTTGTAAAAATATTTTCACGCGGGCGAAGTTGCGAGCAATAGCTAGTTAGGTATATGCAGGAAAAGGCGAAATTTATCTCGTTATAATGAACAAGACATATTTTCCGAATTGGAACACAGTCGATTTCCGCGTCTGTACTTGTTTTGTAATTTCCTTTATTTTCCATATTAAAACTGGTAAACTAAATAATCTGAGCGTTTCGCATACCTGAAATGTCACTTAAAATAATTTTAAATTCTACATTTTTTGTTACCGTAAAATGGAATTCAAAAACTTCTCATGTTGTTCGGTTTTATTATATTTGCATAATAAAATATTGAAATAGATATTCGTTTCAATTTTCAGGGCAATTGTGAACCATCGTCTTTGCTTCAACCTGTCGACGTATTACGCAAACATCTCTGCATATACCGTAAGTAAGCACTTATACTAACTAGTAAGCACTTAATTAATTCCTATTCAACGATTTTTCCTAACCTCATAAGTTTCCAATGCTGCAATACAAAAGTCATAGACAAAAATAAAGATGGCAATATAAAGTTTACTCCAAATTCTTGCCACGCAAGAAAGAAAAGAAACGGCACAAAAAAACCCCATGAGTTTTGAAAATTTAACCGCCTCAAGAGTTAATTGTTCGCAGAGAGATTTTAATATAGATTTCTCTTCCTAAATTGTATCTAAGCTTTGAATATTTGTCTGCCTTACTACTTAATAATTGGTCGCAGAGACCCTTTAATGTAGATTTATCTTACTAAATCACTAAGAGAAGACCAGCAGCAGCAGAGAAGTACAGCAGTAAAACTTTTTACTTACTAAGGCGCACTCCTTAGAATGTTTTATAGTGATTTTTGAATTCCCCTTTATAATACAGTAGAACCTCGATAAGTTAAAGTCCAAGGG